CTCGTACGAACAACGGTCCTGCAAAGTCCAAACTTACGTTTGTGAAAGGGGGATCATCCGACACTCTGCTAACAGGAAGATCTGGAGGAAGCGTTCCCCTATAAGGAAGATCTTCGGCTTTACGACAAACGACACATATCCTAACGATTTTCTTTACTGCTTCTCGACCACGGATTATCCAAAAATGCTCTCTAATGGTTGTTAGTGTATCACGAATCCCGCTGTGCTTCACATTGTGGTGAGCATCGCATATTAATAACTCCACAAATCTTGATTCCTTTGGAAGAAATGCTGGATTTTGCTCTCCAGATTCAGCGATGAATTCTTCAGTCTCCCATGGCACCGCATCACGTGATCACCGTCGAGAAATTGCCCAAATTGCTTAACGTAAATAGGTATTGAAGAATTCGCATTCTTTGACAGAAGGAATAATATTTGTTTTTCAAAGGATAGTTGTTGAATAGACCTTATCCATAGCAGCTGCGCCTTCCTTATTTCGTCTGAGCTTAATTCTTCTGAGGTTGTGAGTTTGTTGTTTGCTCGCACCGTGGCATCATCTTTAACATGTTGATGAATCTCATTACATAAGCAGTTATTCGAAGAAGTTTCTTCATAGAGCTATAACGAGTAATGTAGAATGCTTTGTTAAGATCTGGCATGGCTCGTTGTTCGATTTCATTCGAAACTAGTGATCTCACGACATTCGGATTCTCTTCCACAATTTCCCTCAGAACTTCGTCACTTTGTGAGAGGTCGCCAACTGGACGTTTTGGCCACTCTTCTTCGCCCTTGCCAAGAATTTGGGTCCATTGAACCATAAGGAAGAATTCGAAAGTAGTTGCCCAGAAATACCTCGTGAGGGTAAATCTGCAGGATTAAGTGATCCAGGATAAAAGTTCCAAGATTCCGTCAATGAAATACTTCGAGTCTTGTTCACTCGATGCTGCCCGAATGGTTTCCATGCTCGATCGTTTCGTATCCAGTGAAGTGCTGTCATCGAGTCAACCCAATAAAAAACTTCCAGACTCCACTTGAGTGCCTTTAACAAAGAATCTACTAACTTCGCTAGTACAGTCGCTGCCACCAGCTCTAATCGGGGAATCGTTTGCTTTTTCACTGGTGCGACCTTTGTCTTTGAAGCGATTAATTTCACGTCGATGGTACCATTCTCATAGACTGTTCCTACATAGACAACAGCACCAATTGCACTTTCAGATGCATCACTGAATCCATGAACTTGTGTAGTAAAGTATTTCGGTTGGGGTGGATAATAGCACCTCGGTACACGAACATCATTTAGAAACCTTTACTCTGACAATAAAACGTTTCACTGTTCACGTAGATTGCCATGCAGTTCACAGTCCCACCCCAGTATCTATCCAAGCACATGATTTGAAACAGAATCTTCAGCCTTATCGTAAAAGGAGACAAGAATCCAAGGGGATCGAAGATATTAGATGACCATTTCAACAACGATCGCTTTGTGACAGGTAACGAATTGGCGTACTCGATTATTTCAGTCAATTTGAATAGAAATGTGTCTTCCATCGTATCCCACACCATTTCTAGTACTTTGACTTGAGTGGGTTCCGTGAGCAGTTACTCTTTTGCAATTGTCGACTTTGTAAAGGACTGATCATCTTGAGTAACGCTTGACTTGTCACTAATCAAGCTCAAATTCTTGTTACCTTCTAACACTTCGACAGACTTCACTTTGTTACTGGAATTCGAGTTCCATTTTTGCAAGTTGAATCCACCCTTGGCCAACAACTGCTTTGTTCCCTTGTATATTTGCAAAGCGGTTTCATCGGTTTCTGCACCGGACACAAAATCATCGATATACAGAGAATTTTTCAAGTGTTCAACAGTTTCTGGCTCCTGTTTCTCGTGTGTCTTCAAATGATGGTTGATAGTAGCTCCAAGAATTGCTGTCGAAGGTCGTAGACCAAAAACCAATCGACAAAACCTTAGCTTTAATACTTCTGAATGAGGATCCCTAGCATCCCTTAGCCACAAAAAACGAAGCATGTCTCTATCTTCTTTGTCAATTCCAATCATTAAGAATGCTTCCTCAATGTCAGCAACTAGCCCAATCTTGTTTTGTCGAAATTTGACGAGCAAATCAAAGAATTGTGGAATGAGGTTCCACCCGGTCAGTAAGCAATCGTTTAGTGAAAAGTTACGCAAGTTCGTCGTAGCAGATCCATCATATACAACGCGTAGCTTTGTAGTAACCTTATCCTTTCGTATAACACAATGATGTGGAAGATAGTGAATTTTACCACGATCCTTATCAGATGCCGGAACCTATTCGACTATTCCTGCTGCCAATTGTTCAGTAATACCATTATTATATTCTTCAAGATTTGGTGGATCCTTTAGCAGTTTTCTATGCAATGATCTCAATCCATTATGAAAGAGTTCGTAATCATCATCAATTTGCACATGATCATTCTTCCACGGCAGACCAACTTCGTAGCGTGTTCCAGTGAATCGAATATTACGCACAAAATCTTGTTCCTCGGGTGAGTTTGCTGAGTCAAAGGAGTCAATGCCAACGCTCTCAGTTTCCCCAAAACGCTTCATTGATATTGTTAACTCATCCCTATCGGTTACGACAGTAGAATTATCAAGGTAGTCGGCTGCTAAAATGAGGCTGTTCAGAGTATGTCCGTCTGATTTTTGTGATGACCATCCAGACAAAAGCCATCCCAATTTGCTGCTCATCGCTGTTTGACCATTTTTCCTCGTACGACATCACCTGTGACTACGTCCAATAATGATCAGCTCCTATCAAGATGTCGATTGAATCACAGCTACCATTGTTATCGGAAGAATCAAAGTCTGCAAGTTCTAAACCATGGAGATGTGGATATTCGTCTATATTTATCCTTGTAGGAAGTGGTGCCCATATTGTTGGAAATGCGATTGCTTTAATCTCTATTGCCTCACCTCCACTCTTGCTTGCAATGCTCACCTTGAACACTTCGCAGCTTTCTTGTTTACTCTTTCTTTGGCCAAAGGTATTTAATTGAAGTGTCTCCTACCAATTTAATTTAACCTTAACCGATGATCTTTCGAAATATATACTCACAAATCTTTGGACGGAATAAACAAGATGTCTTCGCCTTCGATATGTATATTTTACTGAAGTATGATTGACATGTTTTTCTTTTCTAATGTGGATTTATAATTATTAGTCTAATCTTTCTTACACTACCATTGAGAGAGCCAACATACAGCCATATGAGACTAACTCAATCAATTTCTGAACAGTTTTTCTAGCTACACAATTTTACTGAAATGAGTTTTTTAGATAATGCTCATATATTGCTCAAAAATACGTTTTGATCGTGATCTGCTTGCGTCATAGATGTAATTGTGACGTAGTCATTGTCGATCTAAATATAAATTTAAAGTCTTCTGTGATAACATATGTACATCCAACAATCAATTATAATTTAGAACATTACTGTACAGAGCTTAACATACTTCAAGGATTTGACTGGACTTCGTCAAGTCTTTTGACATAACGGAAAATTGAAATGAAAGAATGGAAAACAGTGCACGATTGTTATTTTAAGACTCAGAGTGAGAATTATTATTACTGTAATATAGTCTAATGTCCCTAATCCATTATATCTAAAATAAATGATATTCATTTAATTTATCATGATATGTAGTAATATTTTATATTTTGCTTTAATGTAGAATATTTGATTATTTTTTAATGTATTGCTGAACAGTAAGAATGATAAAGCATTAATTGAATGATAACCAAGGTTCATTATTTAAAAAAATATTACCACGTTACCTTATAATAGCTACAGTGACTTTGAAAGAGCAACAATATCATTGACAGAGCCATCCATTAGCGGATCCAGCGTTACTTAAAATAAATTATAGCTGCTAAATTTTAATTTCACAGTTTTTTGAGAAAAATGCTATTAGATTCAAAATTCTAAAGAATATAATTTTAGGAACGGACTTGTCTATACTGAAGGTGCTTATAGAAATGTAAATATATTCCAAATTGTGCTGTGTAATTAATTTTGACTTACCCTACATCCGCCACTGGAGCCATCTGATACACACTTTCGCTAGACTGGATTTTTTAGATAATGTACATATGCTGCCCAAAACATGTTTTATCGCTGTCTGCTTGCATTACAGATGTAATTGTAATGTAGTCATTGTCGATCTAAATATAAATTCATTGTTTTCTGTAATACATTCAGTAATCGATTACAATTTAGATCTTTACTGTTTATCCTTGGATCTAAGCAATGATGAGTTTAATGATATTGTGGTTATTGTGGCTGTCATTTGGTCAAGGATTCACAATGAAAATGGGTTGGAATGAAGAACTTGAGTTTTGTGAGGAAGAATGGAAAAAATTTTTTGCGGACAAAATTGGAATCGATTTGAAATGCAACAATACTCGTACACGTTGTTGTGTCGAAGAGAAGAAATATCTTTTGGAGCGATTTAAAATGTTAAGTGAAATATGCCCACTTGAAGGTAAAATAACAACAGTTTTTCCATAAAGAACATTAACTTATGTACTTAGCAAACATGGACTTAGCAAATAATCACAACACTTATATTACAGAGGTACTGCTTCATTTAAAAAACGGTAATTGGCACCGTGTTCTTTGAAAGTGCATCAAAGTGAGGTATAATCCCCTGAAAATGTTAAAGTACTTAACTGATTTTCTTACACTAGCCTTACAGCATGAACGAAGCATAATCTCTCGCTCATTGTTGATATGTTTAGTTACAACAACAAAACAATATGACAGTACAGCCAAAATACATGCAGTTATATAATATCGTCTGTAGTTATTGTCTATTGAGTTTTACGGATGACTGTCGATTTAATGCGAATTGTTAACAATATTTTGTTGCGAAACGAGGCTCATTTTCTACTTGTTCTTTTTCTTTGGACAAAAAGTTAAAGACAACTTAATTTTATTTAGGGACATGTGGATGCATTCCGATTGTTATGAACGTTACCACCATGGAACGACGATATTTTAATTATTATAATTCCGTAAATTGGAAAGAACCAGAAAGCTTCACATGTTCACATGAGTACATAAATGAAACAATAGAAAAGTCATATCTTAAACCTTCTGCTAGCTTTGGAATCGGACAACACAAAATCCCTTACAAGTATATTTTATACGGTGGAAAAAATCACACTTGTTATGTTGTCATGAACGTGAACGAAAGACAACGTTATCAAGGTACATGCAAGGCAGTTCATTATAGTTTCTTCTGTGTCAGTTTAATTTATAGTGCATAATTGTGATTATAGTGTTTCGTATTTAACTTTGGTCAAATCCATACGGCACTTTGACCTTTATTTAATTCATCTTCTCATGGAAATTTTTTTTGCCATTGCAAAACTAATTGAATACACTCCCGGAACAGCCGAACATGTTTAATTCGTCATACATTTATTATAATAGATAGATAATTTTATTTTAACACGCTTACCATTGTCAACATACAAGTTGATTTCCACATGGGGCGTGTGCAAAAATGAAAATTACAATAGAATAGTAAACTACTTACATTTACGATACACAAGACACTAAATTGTATATTGAATGAAGTATAGCTAGGTTAGAAAGCTATTTACAATTAGTTGAGTACATATTTGTTTTGGGAAAGTGGGAAGCGATTTTTCTTTGAAAGGTCGCTAGAGAACTAATTTCTTTAAGTTCATTTGGCAATGAGTTCCAGACTTGAGGCTTTTTTTCATGCTATTGGTTCGTGGCTGAGGTAAGCATAGTGTTTTTTTAAAACCACGAAGTTGATAATCTGTTGATTCGCTTTTGAAACTAAATAAACTAGTAAGTAATTTTGGACCCGTGTTGTTAAGGAATTTGAACATGAGCTTTGCTTTACTTTTTTGCCTTTGAATATCAAGAGACTCCCACTCTAAAGCTCTCAAAGCAATTTCGTGATCAACAACATTACTCATGTTTGCGATGATTCTAGCAGCTCGATTTTGAAGTTTTTGTTAAATTTTTTTCCGGGGGGTGAAGTAAAACATGTCACTTACGTGATTTGCGTACTGTGTAATGCTATTGATATTTTTTAAGTATGTACATGAAGAATTCATTGTGAGCATAGATATGTATAATAAAGCCAAAGTAATCAGGTGCCCATATTGTTATCACCCAATTACTAGGTCCCTTTTGAGGAACGAAAACAAACTTTAATTTACGAGAGAGCTTTAATAACGACGTATTTCTGTTATTTTTTGGAACTTAAAGCCATGTATAATGCATAAAATATGCAGAAAATATTTTTAACTTGGATAGAAGCGGTAGATTTTTGTCTTTCACGCTTATAAAGTCTATGATTTTTTTGCATTTTTACTTACATTTTACTTAAGCTCATTTTATAGACAAAACACGTTTTTGAAAATGCTGTTAACTAAAAAATTCTAAAGAATATTTAAAACCAAAATTCTCGCAATAGGATGTGGTTGAAGTATTTTAAAATGGAAATATATTTTAGTGATGCACTCTGACCTACCCTAGATCCCCTACCTGTCCTCCGTCCATCTAGGATCGGAAGCTCTAGAAATTTTTTTAAGGGGGACTCAAAAATTTCACTTGCATATTGTACGTACTGTGTAATACTACTGAAATTTTTCAAGTTATGTGCACAAAGAATTCATTGTGGGCGTTGGCGCCAATTCTGCGATAATTGGTATTCATATATTCTGTTATGCCTGGTTGATTTCTTTTGAAAGTGAAATTGTTTTGAAGAGAAATTACCCAGACATAGCAAAATATATGAATATGGTCCCGCCTATTAACACAAGATTGACGCCAACGTCTCCCACAGAGATGTTGCGGAGACGACTCACCCCTTGTTTCCCTCCTTGGTGCCCACACTATGTATAGGATATACCTGATGTCTATTTGTTGTTATTTGTTTGTATATGTCATTAAACAAAATAAAACGTCTTTCTTCATATTTATGGAATGTCATAATTAATCAACGAATCCTGGCACGTACAAAAATGTTTGGTAATTTCTGTCTTATATACATCCAAGTGCATATAGCACTTTAATTTACATGCGTAAGATATTTATTTATTGACCGTTATTCTGGAATATTGTCAGAAGTAATTCATTTCGCTTTAAGAAGTCTCTATTTTCAAAAGTTGATCTCACATATTTCATATATTGTACTGCATAAAGTATTGTCTTAAGTGACATATTGTCTCATTTTCATTTCTATCTTTTGATTTGGATTTGCGTACAAGGGCACTTCTATGTTTGTATAAATGTTGTAAAATGTCGCGTTTGGGTTAGTATTGCAGGCATGAAAGGTTCTATAACCTTTAAAATCTACAACTTTTGTATTGTATAGGCTCAGTGACGTGCTTTGGTGAAAAAATAACAAACGCTAGCTGTCCTAACAATCAATACATGGTCATAAAAAAGGCAGAATATCGTGGATTGAATGAAGGAAATGTTTGTGGCTCAAGTTACAATTACAGTTGTAGCTTCGATGTTACATGCCATTTAAAAAGACGCTGTGATGGTCAACGGGTGTGTAATATAAGTGTCGATGATAATCTCTTCCCTTCCAATATTTGTGTTGGCCTGAACAAGTATCTTTACTTTGAATATCAATGTAACGACACCATGACGTCATTGGATGATATCTGCTACGGTAAATACATTATGCGTAATCATGCATGGACAGATGAAATGACACGCAAAAATTAAAGCCTTGTTTTTCTTTCTAGATACGACTGGATTTTCTTGAAACATGTCGAAACTGGAAAGTGTATTTATGATACAGAAAAATACAGTCATCACTAGGTGCAAGAACTCTTCGATTTTTGGAACTTTCCCACAACTGTCTTCATCCTTCATCTCAGTTTAAATTCTTAGATAACAGCGCCATATTGAAGTTGAACGTACCAGGTTGTCTTCAAGGAGTTAATAAATGGGGAACTGGTTATCGTCTTGATATGTTATATATCCACAATGATGCGCGCAACATTAATGAAGCTGCTTGTGTCAACAACAATGCTGTAAAACAAACCTCTTGGGGAGGTCTACAAATGCGGTACTACAGAGCTGGAAATCAATTTCAATGTTTAAGACCTCGTACTTCTAAAGAACTACAAGACAATCAAGGAGTTCATCCTTATTTGAAAATGGCTAGTTGTAAGTCTGCACCAAAAAATCAATTTCATTTCGGTAAGGTTTATTTTGTTCTTAATTCATATTTCTGTCCACCAAAATTCAAAACACATCAAAATATTTTAAATGATCACAAGTTATTCAAAAACATGGTAAGTCAGCTACGGAAAACATGAAAAATCAGCTCAGCACACAAGAAACAGTCATATTGGTATTCAAAAAGAAGGAACTTCATTAAATAAAAATAACTTACCTCTATCATTATTACTTACATCTATCATCATGACTTACCTCTTTCATCCTGACTTACCTCTATCATCATGGCTTATCTCTATGTGAATGTTTTTTCATAGGTCATATCTGTGCCAGGCCGTTGTTAAACGACACAAAAAAATTCCCTGACTCATTGTTTTCTGCTTCAAAGGCAATAAATTTGCACAATGCCGCCAATGCTAGAATATCCAGTGGCAGATCGTGGTGTGCTCCTACTGCTGATGGAAATCACTATCTTCAAATAAGATTTGAAAAACTTTATGCTATTAACTCCGTTGCAATTTTTGGAGACACAACAACCTTAATTTGGGTGACAAAATATCACATTAACACCACTTCTGATTTAATAAACTGGGAGTCAGTATCTAATCAGAATTCACAAAAAGTAAAGTGGAGTTAGAGTATTTTTGAAACTGAATTTGCAATGTTATGATAAAGTTTTTTCACACGCTAGTGCGACTGGTGAATTGTAGGGTTTAACATTTTTTTCAGGTTTTCAAAGGAAACAAAAACGGTTACAAAGACGCTGCTATATCAAACATCAAAGGACGTACAAGGACGAGAGCTTTACGACTTATTCCAGTGACCTACAAAAATCGACCCTGCATAAGGGTAGAACTTTGCGGTGGAGGTAAGAACTCTATTAAAATTGAGAACAGTGGCGTGGCCTGTGAAAGGAACTGGAGGAGCTTGTTTCCCCCCAATTATTTTAATGACCAATTTTGTAATTGAAGGATGTAATGAAATAAATTTCGGACAGCAAAAAACGATTTGCTTCCTGTTAACAGGTACATAGCAAAGTATAGTAAACAGCAATCGTCAAGCATTGCTGTTTGTAAGATGGACTTGAATACACTTGCTAACACATCTAACAAAATGCTACCATTCTACAAACGTGTGGCTTTTACATTATTATAAATCCTGCTTGTGAGAAATAGTGTTTTAGACAACATAATGTTAAACATTTCTTCAAGGGAGCATGCCTCTGAGCCCTCGTTGAGGTCTCACACATTTGACGATTACATTGTCCCTCCTAGTCTGAACAACCTGACGACGCCACTGATTGAGAACAATGTTATATTGCAAAGCTAGTAGTGTAAGCTAAATTCTTTTGATCATCCACCAATAAATACAACAAAGAATTATCCTTTCATATTTAATTTTCTTCTATATTGTAAAGTTTTCATCTGCAAGTTAAGATTCGTAACGTTTTAGAGCTTTTAAGTCGTTTTGGACTCTTGCAAAGTATTTTTCCCCAATTTCTTTGCTTTTGATTAAACCAAAGTGCCGGTAAATTAGAAATTTTTTTTAAACTTGCTCCATCCTCTCATGTACTTCTTAGATTGTTAAAATCTTGAGAATGATAATTTTCACTACAGCATAACGTTATATAGTAAAATCATTGTTTACGCTTTATTTACATTTAATTAGTGCACTTGAAAAGCAAATATTAAATTGTGTATAAAAAAAAAAACCTTTTGAAATTAACGAATTGTAATAATTTCAATGCCTATCACGTACATTGCCAATACCATGGGTACATTCTAACAGCAAAACATGCACAAGTATGCACCAGTATGATTTGCATAGTCCTTAGGCACTGAAATTTTACAATTGGTTAATTTTAAAGATCTTCTTTTGTTATATCAAAATAGATCTTTCTCTCTTGTTGTAGAATTGCTTCCGAGCAGCCCAACAGGTCTCAACATCACTTACAGCGCGTCAAGATACGTTATAATATCGTGGATGGATCCCCAAAACATTGCAGTGACTCCCGGCGCAGATGTTGTAAATCCTTTGATAAAGTTTAGGTTCATATTGAAGAAGCAAAGGAAGGTCATTTTAAACAAAACTGAGCCATCTAACGTTGCTAAGCCTTACATGTTGAGCAATCTTATTCCTAACACAATGTACACAGTAGTTGTAACTGCTGGAAATTCTGAAGGTTTTGGAGATGCAGCGAATGTTTCTTTTAAGACGAAAGAAGATGGTAAGATTTTATTTCATCCTATTGTGTTCTTCGTTTTTATATGTGTGCATCATTTCAAACATAGCTAGGAGAGAAAGAAATCGTATGCTACTTAAATCTTAAATATAAAGACGTTTTTACACGTTAAAATTTCATTGTGTAAGTGAACGTGGAATATTTCCCCCAATTATTATTTGTGGATTCTGGCCATGACTAACTCAACGAAGCAAACTGCCCCATTCCATTTCTTATATTTCATAAGTTATAAAAAGTATGAAAATTTTCATGCAAGCAAGCCACGTTAATGTTCCACGTGATTGCGAAACTTTTTTCTACAATTATTCAGTTCTTTTTTTCTACAATACTGTGCAGAAGTTTGAGGTTTTAAAATTATAAGTTAATTTAGTGGAATTGTTGCATCTTAGAGCTCTTAAAAGTTTCGCACATTTCGTATTCAGCAATTTTGCAATTAAGAAACAGTTTCAACGTATTGATAAAGTTAATTACTCCAACGTGTCTTTGTATTTATTATTACCAGCACAAGCAGCGAGCTACCAAACGACAAATCCTCCTTCTAACCAGCGTATGTTTTTATGGCTATTTATGCCATTCCAATTTTCAAAGATGGCTGTTAGCTATGAATTAGCTAGGATTATTTTCTGACATTTTCTTTCTTCTTCTTCAAAAGTGCTCGACAGGAAGTAAAATACTCTCGATAACAGTGTCTCTATAACAAATATTTTTCTTGTAGGGATCAGGTTGAAAATTTTTGCCTGAAAACACCATATCTGCTCAGTGCTTCAATGACCAGACACTTTGCTCGCAATACCTATCGTAACCAGTCCATGTGTTTGGAGTTACTTTTTTCTCTTGTCATCTTTCAACTCTTGTTCTTCAATATTTGATCATGATCTGGGAATAATTATCACTATTCTGGTCTGTTATAAGTTTTATCATATCTACCTTCCTCACTTTATTCGAAGTTTCCATGGCATCATGCAGACGTTTCTTCTATTTCTTTGCGTTAACACGGTGTATCCAGTAGAACGCCTTCTGTGCTTCTTTTGAGTTTCGGTCCTTTTCCCTCTTACATTCAAACTTGTTTTACTGTGTCAGAATATTTTCATTTACAAAACAAAACGACGCAGTAAAGCAATGTATATTTCACCTGTCGGACGTATGTGTAACTATTTGCACATATAGACAATTTTTCACTTACAATTTAAATTTGTTCTTAAAACATGGAATGGTGAGAAAACCATGATGAGCACCAAAATATCAGATGCGACCTTACACGGTCACAGTACTGTATTTACCGTAAAACTGAAATGAACTTACTTCAGTTGTCAAAATAAACGTTTGATTAAATGTTTTTTCTTGAATACAACTATACAGCATGATGCGACACTTTGACTGTCTTTTTATTTAGTTCCTGAAGGGCCTCCTCTAAATATAACAATCTCTGTCATCAGCTCTTTTATCAGTCACGTGGAGCCACCTGATAAAAGCAAGAGAAACGGGAGAATTGTCAATTACACTGTTTGTATACCACCTAGTGAGAGCTTCAAATGTTCAGAAACCTTTACTACCGAATACCAAAGCTTTATCATAAATGAGTTGAAACCAGCGACGACGTACTATGTGTGGGTTTTGGCAAGTACAAAAATTGGTTTTGGAAATTACAGTGAAAAGCAAATGGCCATAACAAACGGACGTACGTTTTCATTTAGAAATCTTCTCTTGCCTTGTTTAACTGTTACTAATTAATGGAGGGAGGTTGTGCACTTTAAAATAGGTTTTGTATTTTTAGTGCCTCCGAAAGCAACGGTCAACTCGTCGGAAAAAACTTTGACATTTTCTTTAGAAATTCCTACGGTTAAATATGAGTAAGTTATAGTACGTAAGTTCTTAGATCATTTATTTTGAGCCTATAAACACTAGGTTCAGCACATTTATTTACTTAATGGAAATAACACAAAAAGCAGACAGATTTTATAACTCTTTGATTCATGAATATTTAAACTTAAATGCTTATAATTGTGCATGGTTAATCTTGACTCTTAGAAAAGACGATTAACGAAAATACCTGCTGCTAGGGATCTATTCTGCAACCTGGATCGAGGGTGCAATATATAGCAATTCCTGGTTGTCCTCACTACTTAGCCATATTAACCTTTGCTGTTAGGATAGTCAGTTGACTAACTTTGCTCATGATCTTTTTTAAATTAAAAAACAAATTTTAAACTCAAAGGCTATCGTTGTTTTGAACCATTGATCTTTTTGGCGTTTTTTTTGCAATACGCTTCCCATGGAAAATATGTATATTTTATTTTATTTCAGGTACTTATTCGTGATTGCCATGCAAGGTGACAGACAGAATCTTCCATCGCCTTTTACATTAAATGTTGAAGACTTAGAAACATATTCGACTCCTTCACCACCAAACCTTTACGTTGCTGCGGTACTTAAGCCAAGTGGTGGTGGTATTTTCGTGTTTATACTTGGTGATGGCTCAAATTCAAGTATTTCGGGAACACGAGGTCGTCGTTCTCTCGAAAGAGTTTATTATAACGCTCCTCTAAAACCCAATACTACTTATCGAATTTTCCAGCGTGTGGTGATAAATGATCAGGTAATTGCTTAAATTTTTTTTAATGACTTCTTTTTGGGTTTTTTTTTAGCAAAATTTAATGCACTTCTTATCAGGGTGATTATTATTCCACTGAATGGAGTCCTTCAGTAAGAACAACTTCAGAGCTATTTCCCCTTCCAGGTGAGTTTAAGAGTATGGCTTTATTAATAGTGAAAGCATAACGTTAAACGAAATCGCGGAGAAAAATTGCTAAATGGACAGTGGAAATTTTTTTTCAATTTTTTCCAATAAAATAACTGTTTTTATATAAATGAATTTGCTGGATTCAGAAGCATTCTTTCTACGATGTGCAAATTTGAAGTTCGATATGGAAAAATCTGAACACTGCTTCTTTTCAATCGTGTGGTGATAGTGCATGCAATATTGAAGGGCATGTGTCTTTCTCTCTGTTTTTTTCTCTCTTAGGCGATAGTAAAGATGATGATAACAATGATAACAACGTAACTGCAATTGCTGCAGCTTCTGCAGCTGCTGTTGTTTTCGCTATCGTCTTTGTGGTCCTAATAATTCTTTGGAGAAGGTAGAAGGAGTTTAAAATGAACAGTAAAGTCGACTGACAGCATTAGTGTGAGAGGTGAACGTTTGACATTTTCACATGCAATTTTTCACTTCTTGCAATTGATCTTACGTGTTTATATAACTAGCTTAGAAACACTGCAAATGCTTTTTTTATCTTACATATCAGACTCTTCTTCACAATTGCGCATCATGTATTGTCCCATCTTTCTCAGAGTTAACAAGAGAAATTATCAAATACAATTGAACATTAAATATGTTTGCAAGATTTTACCAAACTTCGTTATAAGGAATTTAGAAACATGCTGAATATATGCACAAACAAATGACAACTCTTAGTTTTTTACACTATTTGACAATGTCTGAGGATATTGTTTTGGTTGTAATTAAAGAGAACGTATGAAGCATTTTCTGTTTTAAAAAATGGCAAGCACTGTTTTGTAAGATAAAAAGGAGCATGATACGCTTAAGAAGATTTTGTACTAAGAAGTACAAGCAGGCCAAACTTTGCGTACAAAAAACGACGAACAATCAACTCGTGGGTACTCTACTACTACTGTCTTCTGCAAATGATGGTATATTTTTCTAGAAGACGTGCTGTTGTTAAAGAGCCTAAATTGCATTTGCAATCAGAACATGAGGATAGGAATGGACAAGAGCTGTCCGTTAGAAACGACGCGTTCATCGTTAATGACAATGCGGATCCTGTTGTACGACCAAATGAAGAAAATATTTATGTAAACAAGTCAATTTCCGAAGAAGAAATGTATGGAAACAAAGAAAGTAAGTAATTTTTGAAAAATATCGTTTTTTCTATAACGTTGGTAGTTTTTCTTGATTACATTGCTTATTATATGAGACATGTTTTATTGAAACGCTCGGTCAGTCGACAAAAAGTATAAGTTTTTTCCATGTATGTAGTTGGTGTCAATAATAATGTGGTGTTATTTGAATTTAATTGGAGTTCCAGGTAGCTCTGTGTAATAAATCTGATTTCAAGATAGTTAATTATATTTACAACATTTCCTACTATGAAAATGATTGACAATACGCTTGCCGTAACGTTATGCATGAAAAGCAAAACAGCTTGATGATAAAGCTATCTTGACATAGTAAATTGTTGTATATTAGTACATAGCCATTGTGTAGCTATGTCCTTTATCTGACAATATTTTTCACATTGTTATTTTTCAGCTATCGAGACCCATAATCGGTTACCAATTCCACTCGTAAATTTTACTGAGCACGTAAAAAAACTGAGAAGAAAAAACATGGAGGAATTGAGGCTCGAATTTGAGGTAATGTGTTTTATGTGTTCTTTTCTACAGATTTGAAATCCTTAGCGGACTATAAATTCAGTCAAATTTCTCATAGTATATGTGCTATTATGAGTAGTTTAGCATCTTCCGCTCAATCCAACATTAAAAATAAGCAGAAAATTCACGAAGGGTGGAAGCTGGAACGAGGTGATAAAAATGAAATTTGTTGTCATGAAATGAAAGTTTGAGTCTTGGCTTGCAAAGTGCGGAGATTTTAAAAAAGAATACGTCCGCCGCACTGATAGGTAAACTTAGGTGGTTTTCTTTTTAACTCTAACACGGCTGTTTCATGCACAACCGAAAACAATTATATACGAGATTAGATTGTGTATTCATACCTATGCGGAACATTAGATCATTACTGGGTAAACTACGCAAACCAAATGTATGAGGATTCACGTTTCAGTAGCTATGAGTTTAACACACTTGTTCAGTTTTGTATTTGCTTACTATTAAAATTTGCAGGACTTACCAAATGGTCAGAAATGCAACTGGGTTATTGCCAAAAGTCCTATGAATTCTGCCAAAAATCGATATGGAAACGCAGTCAAGTGTAAGATTATATTGACTCAAAAACCATGCAATACTGACAAAGTTGTTATGGGAACACTGTCATGTGTCAGATTATTGACACAGCTACCTTACAATACCCACAATAATGCTTTTAAAACACCGTCACATGCAAAAATGTTTGGCCTAGATACCTTTAAAAAGTAGGAAAGACAGCTAGCCCGGCTATGTAAATTTCAGATCATCATCATTATATTTATTTCTTTAGAATTTTATTGTTTTCAAATTAAAGATGAACGTAAAAAATTTTACACAGCCGGACTAAATAATCGTACTGGCTCACCCCTCCTTACATTCACTAAATGCAGTGGCATGATAGAGATTTTTCCGTGGAAAAGTTTTAACACTAGCAAAACCTGATGGCGAAACAAAATCCCAATTTACGTTGCAAACCACTGAACATAATGATATCAATTAAAAAGTGATATGTGGGAGTGTAATTGTTATGTAAAAGAAAGGAAAATGTCAAAAACGAAAATTGTGTGTTCGAAACGTTATTTTGTCTCTTCTAGACGACCATTCTCGTGTGATACTCTCATGTGATGAAAAATCTGACTATATCAACGCTTCTTTTGTCGACGTAAGTTTCATTGAAAGCAGTTTTTTGCTCGCAACATCGTCGACAGTTTACGTTAAAGATTCGCTCTTTTTTTCAATTTATACATCCTTGAACATGATTTTGGATGTAGAGTGTCCAGTTTAGTAGAGTCCTGAGAACGACTTGTGTTGTTGATGTTGATTCGTTGACTCTGAAGATGACTACCTCTAAGGTTGTCGAAACGTCAGTCAACATCAACAATAACAGTCCTTCTCAGGACTCCACTAAACTGGAAGATCCACAAACATGTTACGATACTCCTGGGTTCAAACCATTTACTTTATAAATCCTTTATTAACTTTGTAGGGGAAATGTGAGAAGTACTACATTGCGACCCAAGGTATTTTATTAGTTCAAAATTTCATCAATATGATGCCGTCGACGAATTTTCAACGTGATTGGATTGATGGCGCGTGATGCAACTTCCGATGTTTGAGTTGCAGCTTACTTTTGTTAATTGAAACCTGCGGAAACACTTTTTCTTTTTCTTTTTGTAGGTCCCAAACCTAAAACTGTGAACGATTTCTGGAGGATGATTTTTGAACAAAAGTGTCCAACAATTGTAATGTTGACGACTTTGAAAGAAATGGGAAAAGTATGAAAATGTTATTTTGGATGGTTTTACATCGGAGATCTTTTATCTTTTGCGCTTTCTTCTTAAAGGTGAAATGTAAAAAATATTGGCCAGATGAATCTAACGTATACGGTGAAATTACAGTGACCATCACTGAGACAAAAACATTCGCTGATTATGTCACTCGCATTATGGTTGTTGAAAAGGTAACTTTTTTGTTTCCAGTCTTTCTTTCTGTTGCTGCTTGTATGTTTATTTTCCCTTGAATAAAATATAAGGCAGACCTGAGCCAATTCTTTTTGTTAAACAAATGGGGTTTTTTTGTTGTTTTTTTAAACCTGACCCAGAATTGTCACATAATCATATAGTTTTTTTTTATGTTCATTTATGTCTGCGTTCATTTTACGAACGAAACAGGCTATTCCATGTATTTGTACATCTTCGAGGCTAGTCTAGCTCTTATCACAACTGTAGCTGTTGTTGGTGTTGACTAAAATGTTAGACATGTTTAGAGGTTGCCATTATCCGAATGAAGTCTGCCGTATTTAAATACCGACACCAACAATTCCAGACACGACAAATACGACATACCGGATTTAACTTCTCACCTGACTGATAATCACCACCACTAAGCAAATGATGCCGAAATGCCAACATGAACAGAACTATCTCAGAACTGCACATAATGGGGAAGAGATGGGAGGGATAGTTATCAATATATATAACACTTCCATAAGAGGATGTCAAACTTCAATGAAAGGTTGAAGATTTATGTATAGAATGAAAAACGTCAGTGACGCTTCTGAGACGTAAGCGAGGAATCAAAGGCTTCGTGAAAAAGTGTTCATCAATTGTTCATCTCATGTTATCATTTTTTTGTGGGACAATAACAAATATAGCTAAAGTATACATTTTCTTCAGCTTCCTTTTTTTATTTTCAATTTTACCTCGGAAAAGGATGAGCAGTATCATTTACTTTTATAGAACGGCGAACATCATGAAGTCGAGCAGTTTCACTACAAATCATGGCCAGACTATGGAGTACCTCGTTATCCAACACAACTCTTGACATTCAGGAACCATTTCAAGCTATCGCACAAGACGAAATCCGGTCCTGTCGTCGTTCACTGTAGGTTAGTTGTTCTATCGCAACTGCGTCGTTACATTGTTTAGAAATATACCTGAAATACTCATCAATATTTTTATGATAGATTCATTTTTTAAGAACATTTTTTTATATGCAATTTTTTTCATGGTAAAAGGACCTTCTTTCCAAACTTTTTCGTGACTTCACCCATTGTCATTATTAAAGAATTAGTAAACTGTTAAACAAAATCACATGCTTCCGATCGGGGCATCTCCCAACAAAATGTTTTGCAAATATTATCTTAGTTTTACGCATGATCTACAATAAATGGAATTGTTTGTTAACATATTCTAAGAAGGTAGCTAAACAAACATTAAACTGATCTTGCTTCTCTATTCAGTGCTGGTGTTGGTCGTACTGGAGTATTTATTGCCTTAGATAAGATCCTTGATAATCTTGATGATGAATATGAAACAAACATTGATGTATTTGGTTTTGTGGAAGAGATGAGATCGCGGCGCATAAACATGGTTTAGACAGCGGTAGGTCACTTAAGAACATCTGGACAAACAGCATTGATCGAGTATATTTAGTTTAATTGATTTGTGGGTAAACTGACTCAAATCTTAAAAGCATATTTGAAAGCACATCAGATCAAACTTTTTTCCAAAACAAGGATTCCAGGTTTGCGAGAAATCTTATACATTTATTATTTTCTTATCAACCAAGGATCAATACATGTTCATTCATGACGCCATTATCGATCACATCCAATGTGGAGCGAATGAAGTTGCTGCTGTTCATATCAAGATCGAGATTGCACAGCTCTCTAAGAAAAGTAGGAACGGAAAAACTGGATTTGAAGAAAAATTTGAGGTTTGTACTATTTTTTGTGATGATCATTTCTTATGCTGATGCCCATCTAATGTATGTGAAGACTTAAGTTTCAACTTAAAATCATTCCCTATAAAAAAAAGTTACATAGGAGTACAGATGAACTCGTACTCAGGTCGTCGTCAGGTCATTAATCAAAAAGGCAAGAAGTATATTAACAAGATTCAACATTACATCACTCCTGATGAAGACACTAGACTAAACTAACTAAAGACTCAAGATTCAACGTTAGACTTCTCTAAATGAAGACAAAAGTTTGAAGGAATTAAATTTTTCTTGACAGCGTTTACAATCAATCACACCAGAACATCCTGAAGAACTTTGTGAAGCAGCACTTTCGGATGAGAACAAGAAGAAAAATCGTTATCCTAAAATATATCCAAGTACGTTATTTATACAAATTGAGATAGATATCTAGTTAGCCACTGACATTTATGCAAAGTGAAGTACCCGCCTTTGTTAATGGGGGGAATAGGTAATGTTTTGTGGCAGGAACACGAATAGGAAACTAATCGTCCTATTCTTCGGCGTGTTGAACACTTAGAAACTTCCGATTACATAAACGCATGTCTTGTTGATGTAAGTTTAGACATTTTCTGAATAATATAATTTGCACGTGATTATTAATTTCTTATGTAATATAAGCATTTCGGGTATTGAACACGATATCTGAAAATGACTACCGTTATACAAAAGGTCTTCGTTTCCTGGTGATTGCAAAAATGCCTAAAGACTTTGTCAATGATTTTTAGGGTTATCTTGGCAAGAATTACTTCATTGCAACGCAGATGCCTTTGAAGGAACCATCAACGACTTTTGGAGGATGGTCACTCAATATAAATGTACGACCATCGTTTTGCTGGATCAGCTAACTGATGATAACAAGGTTTGTGACGTTTTCATAAGAGCGGGAACAATTTTATACTTGATGTAAGCATGGTGGTGTTTAGTGTGGACTTCAAACAAAATCGGTTGAACAGGATGGGGAGAGATGGGATCAAAAAACAACTTGCACTCATTTTGCCTCATCTTTGCACTTAACTTTTGTTGTTTATTTGTTTGTGTTTCGTCGAAATACTCTTTGGCGCAGTCGTAATAACATTGTTCTCATGATTTTTATTTACTCATTTAGTGTAAAATACGTATGGGACAGCGTTATGTTATTTCAATATTATAACCAACATCATAATTTTACAACCAGCATTCCTTTTTATCAATCATGCTTTTAATGTGTATAGTTTTTTGCACACGAATGAAAGGCTTCAGTTATTCACTTATGGTCTTATTAGGAATATCCAATGTTTTGGCCCACGAAGAGAGCAACAAGTCGACCTTATGGAACATGTACTGTTTTGTTTGATTCAGTCGTAAAGAAAGAAGACATTGTCGTCAGAAAGCTCATTGCCTCTCCAACTTTGGTTAGTAGTTTAGTATTCTTATGGTTGCGAAGTATTGGACATATCTTTTTTATCATTGATTTAAAATGAGCTTGCAGGATGATTTTATTGTGTCATAAACTGCAAACCTTCCATGACAATATTTTTACTTCTTATTTGTCGTTCGTCATTGTAATGTATCTGACACCAAAAGCAAAAAAGCCTTATAATCTATCCTGTCATTGCGAGCTTGGGACTTTTCTTGAAAGTTAGCTTTTTTGGAAGCCGGAAACGTAAGCAATCGGGCTTTATATTACTTTTACCATCATTTCCGATGTGACGTCTTGTGATCAACATAACATGTTTCCTTTTGCCGCAGTAAAAAGTTGCCCTTTACCAATGTAAAACTAACTTTTTCTAATTCGTTACGAAATGAACTAATATTTATTTTTGGCATTGTTATATTTTATCCCATTTGTTGGTCGTGCTGTTTTAAACAAATATTGGGAAACTTTGAGTCGGTTTCTCATTTTGCAGCGTAAGCTTATTATCGTCAAGTGTTTAATAAACGAAGTTTTGTCATCCAGTTTTGTGATTGTTTTTTGGTTATTTGAAAGTATTTACTGACTTCATGAATAGATTTAATGTATATTTTTTGCAATAACATCACTTTGACATCACAGCTTATAATAACCATTATGTAATAAGCATCATAGTTTTGCATTGTGTAACATTTTATTTTCAATCAGCTACAATAGATTGATTAATATAATATTGGAAAGTAGATATTTTTATTTAATGACATGTCGACAAAAACTGCTTTTTTTCTATCTAATTTTGTGTTGTGATGCCACATTGATTTTGCAAGTTGAATTAACTTTAACATCTTTTGAAAGAAGTAAAATAACGAGAAAGTTATTAAGTAGTTTAAATGATTTTTATAATGCAATCATAAAGCTATGTGGTAAAATTTAATTTCATTATCACTTTAAGCACAAGCTTTTAAATTATTGCATTTTATAAGAATATCTTGACGTATGACTGAAGTTGGTTCCATACATTAATATGTTAAGCTTATAGAAACTCAACATATCATGCGAAACTGCATTAAAGAAGGTTTATAAGAAGCACGAAAAATTTCTTCTGTAGGACATCAAAGAAGGTCATATGGTTCATATAATTCAGTATTTATCATGGCCAAATCATGGCGTACCTAAAGATGTTCGCAGTTTGTTGCATGTCCTTTCAGAAGTCGAAGAAGCCCAAAGATCCGTGGAGGTTAAAGGACCTGTTGTCGTAGTCTGCAGGTATTGCAGTAGAAGTTTGCTACTCAAAGACATGTTTCCTGTAATCAAATTCGTTGCAATGAATGATAATCTTAAAATAGTTTGAGGAATTTGAGTGTGATAATTTTTTTGCGATTTCCTTTTGTCAACTACTTTTATGTGTGATCAAGCTTTTGAAATATCCCCCCGTCAAAATTAATGGATTGAATGTACTGCATTTAAATTTACTCGGACGTTTTTAAATATTTTTTCTTTTGTTCATTGAACTATTTACGTAGTTTTATGTTATAAATTCACCATTCTTATGTTACCGCGACTACAAGTGAGCCCTTAAAACGTTGACTCAATTTAGAAATATCAATTTTTCAATTAGTGATGGAGCAGGTAGATCAGGTACCTATATCACCATTTCTAATCTTGTGGATCGAGTTAAAATCGTCCAAGTCATCGATGTGTTTCAGTGCATAAAGTTGATCCGAAGTAGACGCCCACAGTTTGTTGATACAGCGGTACGTGGTGTGGACCATCTTTACAATAGTATCACGTAGAATTTCAATAGAGTGTTTGCATGTGACGTCAAAACAGCCATTTTGGGGGAGTACATCAAAGTGCCAAAGCATGAAATTTGCATAATTTCTTTTCACTATGTGCGATTTTCCCCAACATGGCGACTGATGAAAACACTCTATTATGTCACGTTTTCATGTAATGATCGTTTTATTCATCAAATGAAATATTTCATTTGTGAAATGTGACTTCCACAAGTGAAAGTGAATCTCATATACAAAGTTTTGGTTTGTTTTGATTTTGCATTGTTATTTCATTGGAACTGTTTGTCATTAATTATATTTGAGTTATTCATACTTACTTAAAGTTATTTACATATGCATTTTATGTTGCATTTTATTTTATATTACATCTTATATTACATACATTAAATTTTATATTAGGTATTATATTTTATATTAGATTTGATTATGTTTACGTAATTTATATGTCATTTTTTGTCTGTGTTTGGATATTTCTAATGATTTCCTCTTGATGTTTATGTAGGAGCAATTCAAATTTTGTTACAGTGCAGTGTCAGGCGTGTTGGAGTCCTTTGACGAGTATTCAAATTTCACAGAATTAGCAACGATTTGAGAACGTTAAACTTTAGTTTACACTCGTAGTTAAATGTCGGTATGTAATATCTATAGCGTTTACTATCGGATCAATGTAAAATACGCTTTAGATATTATAATAGAGGAATCAATTAGATTTCCTCAATGTTGCTTTGTTAACCTAGAGCGAAAACCATTCGTACAAATATGTATTAAGTAGTGATTGTTGCCTATTTAATTTTAAGTATTTTATAAGTTTTTAACTACAACGTATACGACGAGGCTTTATTGTATGCGGTGGAAGATCCACGAAAAGAAATAATTGTATGTATTTTAAAACAGCGGTATGATATCGTCTTAACGACAACGACTTCTTTACATTGTATTTATGTGATTATTTTGAACTTTTTTACGACCAACATGAATATTTTTTTTCAATATTTGCCGTCCATCTCAATGAAATATTCTAACTATAGCCTTTAGAAAATAATCATTTGTTCCTATAATAATAATACGTAAAAGAAAGATGGTTTGATTCCATTTAAATTTAATTCTAATCATAGATGAATACATCATTGAATACTTTTCAGTTATCGTCATTTAAAACGCCAATCTTACCCTTTCTTCAACTTCAGTATATTGTTTATTTGTCAGGCACGTAAAATTAATATAGTACCTGCCTGTACCAGGTACTATATCTATCTCAGGACTATACCAACCTGGACGATCTACATTTACAAACATGTAACGATACTCCCGGGTTCAAACCATTTACTTTATAGTACCTGCCTCTTTGGTATGTTTAAGCATGTCACGATTAGAAACATATGTTATTAATGTTGAACTGTAATTTTCAAAACAAACTGAAATGACCATACTGCTTGTCTCAAGAAAAAGGTCATCTTCAAAATCATCCAGCATTAAGAATATGCATGATTAAACTGTAATTTTCCCAAGAAGGTGTTTTTTTGGCAGAGTTTCTTCTCAGGGATTTAAAATGTGCTGAAATATTTACGTATGTATTAAGCCTGGTTCACACGAGTAAAATAAACACGAAGGTCGAGACTTTTTTCCTATTGATCTAGAGGTGTATAAAGGCAAAGACTTTGGGATTTTCTTTAAAGCTTCTTTTTGTTCTTCTTTTGTTCTTCTCTTAGCTTGAAATTTTTCCCTATGCTTGCGCTTATGTCGATTATGTCACATGCTTTGTTGATTATCTTTGTTTTATCTTTTGTTTACGCTTGTTCTTGTCCTTAATTCAATTGTGTGAACTAGGCTTTATTGTATTCTATAGTGTTTACGGCTCCTTGGCTCATATAATCTGAATCATTCAAATTTTAGTGTCGGCTGATTGCAGGAGGAAAAATTCTTGATACACTTGAATTAAGCATCTTGTCAAATCATTCAAAAGTACGACGGCCAAACACTATTTGTTGCTGTCGTTTGTCAATAAATTGCTTAGAGCTACGCTTTTACTACGAGTCCTGAAGAATAGAATGAAATGTTGACGAAAGTAGACATTGACTGTCTAAACCATTGGTTACTTGTTTACGCAGAAGGATTATGTGAATAGAATGTAGGCATTTAACTAGAATACATTGCATGCACTTTGAAATTT